CTCAACACGTAGCCACCTAGCGGTTCAATGTGGAACAATGACAGGAAAATCACAAAATTTGTTGCCGTGCAACCACCTTATATTCTTACACCGTGGCTTTACGCGAGGGAGAGGCTTCGCCCCTACGGGGCGAAGTCCTCCGCCGCCTACGCGTGAAATTTTAAACAAAGCGAGGTTCAACATGGGTTTACGAGTTTCTACACAAAGCGCAATAATGTCATGTGCGCAATAATGTCATGTGCGCAATGTGTATGTGTGCAATAATGTCTTGTGTGCAAACGTACGTTTGTATTTTTAATTTTCAAATGTGCGCAATAATGCTTGTAGGCATTCGGAAATGTCGGCAATTGAAGCTGTCGGCAAAATGTTGTGGGCAAACAAAGCTATTGACAAATGGGAATGTAGGCAGTTGAACTCCTCTCAAATAATTCATCTAGTACAGTATTTGATGTACAGAATATAAGTATACACAATGCAACAGAAATTGTTTAAATAAATATTGTGGTTGTACAACATCTTACATGCCACTTTCAGAATATAGATCTTTTGTCATTTGCATATTGGCTACTTTTCTGCATTCTTTGTTACCAATAAAACATGCCCATTTTACGACTTCTTCTCTTAAACATTTTGTAAGAATGTTGTCGTTTTGTTGTGCAACGTATCCTATTTCATACAAAACTCCAGTCAATATTTTTTCCATCTTTTTCTAAAAATCGATAAGTAATATAAATTTTAATCTATTGTTCTTCATAAAAGTTGTTTATGTATGTACATATATATATATATATATATATTTATTTATTATAACCTTTTTTGTATACAAAGTGATTTAAAACAACCTGATGTTCTTGAAATATCTACACAATTTAAAATACAATGTATTGATATATAAATTTTATTACGAAAACAATATATCTTAATTTAAAAAAAATATATATTTTAAAGTATTTAACCAGCACATTATAGTTTTAATTGTTTCAGCATATCCTTAAGCGACTTCTAAAACGATTTTTTCTTTTGCAAAATTTTGTCCGAAACTTAGATTTGAAATTATAATTGAAAATAGTTTGCTACTCTCACTCACACACACTGTGACTGGGTTACGTTACTCTTATGATGCGTTGCACAGTCCCTGCACTATATCAGTCTCACATGTGTACAAGTAGCGCACTATTTTCAATTATATCTCAAAAACTAATCTTTGGACAAAATGTTGCTAAAAGGAAAATTATTTTAGAAATCACTCAAGAATATAACATTTTTAGGACATCAGATTGTATTAAATCACCCTATACACATAATGTTATGATGTTATCTTTCTTATAGAAATTTGTTATTATCTACCTTTACGTCATCAGCATTTTTAAATGAAATCATAACAGTTATTTGTTCAAAAGCTTTAAACATAGGATACCATACTACATAATTCGTTTCTCGTGTTAAGAATGCAGGGATTTTCCAAAACGTAACGTAATCAAGTTGTTTATGTATAAAGAAGTGAAACGCATCATCTATGATTTGGGCTCGATTGAGAACATGTATGTCGATATATTTCGTAGAATTCATGTACTGTGCAAGTTTTAGCCAATTTTCAACATTATAATTAACACGATAATACCCTGTTATAAACAGGAAAGCTTTTAATATTAAAGTTTCTCGATAGCATTTATCAAAAAATAATTTTTAAATAATTTTTATTGTTGTATGTGAAACATTTCAAATTATATATTTTTTAATAAAATTTTTAAATAATTTGTTTGAAAAAAATGTGGGAGCGATTAGAGTATGAGAATGTTGCTTGCGAGCATGAATGACACGCACAGTTTCGAGTATGCGAGTGCGCGTGTTGCAAGCATTAGCGTGCGAAAGTTTAAAAAAGTAAAAAAAAATACCAAAAAAAAGGAAAAAGAAAACATAATAAATTTAATATTTTATATTTACCTGTTTGTTGTAAATTTACTATAATCCAATCTGCATCAATCTTTTCCGATAATATTTTTGCTTTTTGCGGTGCTAGCCAAAAGGATTTATTGACAAAAATGTTTTGAAAATCCATGATTGATTTTGTTGTATATGTCACGAATATTGGAAGATGTTTTCTGTCCTCGTCAATAAAATCAGAAGTTTCATACACGACTCTTGTTCTGCTAATTAAATAATTTCGTGTCACGTACAGTACTGGATAATAATAGTTTTCTACAATCCAAACTGATATAAATTCTTTTATAATAAATACTTTTGTATTATCTGGATACGTTTGTAAAACAGTTTGCATAATGTTCCTTAAATTATTTGGTTGCTTATACCTGTAAAATGGAAAATTTTTATAAGAGTGTATATTGTGCAATTGTGTATATTGTGTGTATTTTTGTTTGCAAAACTCAAAATTATTATTTATATGAAAATATTAACACTTTTGCTGCCGTTCACGTATTTTTACATTCGTACGTCCGTATAAGTCAGGAGTTGATTACGTAATTTTACGTTTACTGTTTTTTGCATCATGGTATTAGGTCGTGTAATATAAAATATCGAATTTTACATCAGTTCAATATAACAGAACAGCTCCAAGCTTTGAGCACAGCCAAATATGTAACAATTGCAAAAATGTTAATTTATATGTGTATTTTTATTTATATATGTGTATAATTAGTAATGGTATAACTAGTAATAGTATAACTAGTAATTTGGAATAAATTAAAATTGATTTAAAATTGTGAATAAAAATTATTTCTTATTGAAATATTTTATTTTTTCACATTTACAGTTATATTTTGTGTAACTTATCTTAAACTTATAATTATGTTAATGAACTTTGACTGTAATATAAAGAATAAGAGTTTCTTTATTTATAAATTTATATATGTTAAATATTAGTTTTCAAAAGACTATCAAAGTTAATTCGATCAAAGTTCAAAAATCAATTTTGGTTTACATAAATAAGAATAGTATTTTAAATTTAGAAGATAAATACTGTGAGAGGATGAGTGAGAGAGAGGGGGAGCATTGAAATAGACAAAGACCTTCTAAAGTGACATATTTCTCAGAATTGTAATGTTGCGTTTTAGTGAAACTGGTATATACAGGGTGTCTGGCAATAATCGCCCCACCGGTCATATACAGGTAGAGGAGGTCAAATCGAGTAGAAAAGTCCTTTACCATTTTTTAATTTTCATAATAAGTACTGAGTAATTAACGAAAAAAGATCGGCGAATCCGCGCGAGTAAAGCGCGCGCAGCGAGAAGGACATCCCACTGCTATGCGATCACTAGGCGCGCGATGAAGCGTTGGGAGGAGCGCTCTACAAATGACAATGGGCGCGTTCAGCAGAACAAATCGCTTGGTAGCAATCGAACATGATTGGCTCTTACTTTTAGAACCAACAAATCAACGTTAAGTGTTGACTAGACGACAATTCAGCAGTTGTTCTGCTGAACGCAGCCAATGGCAACATACGAGCGGCGCGTAACGCTAGATCCTTGTGTCCTAGTGATCGCGTAGCAGTGGGACGTCCTTCTCACCGCGCGCGCTTTACTCGCGCGGATTCGCCGATCTTTTTTCGTTAATTACTCAGTACTTATTATGAAAATTAAAAAATGGTAAAGGACTTTTCTACTCGATTTGACCTCCTCTACCTGTATATGACCGGTGGGGCGATTATTGCCAGACACCCTGTATAATATAAACGTGATCTGTTCAATTAGTTGATTTATTTAAAATCCATAGTTAGTACATTCTCTGTTTATTCGTATACTAAATCAGCTTCCGAGGTAGAAATCTGCCTCGATTTGCCGAGATTAAGTACACGGTTTGGATAGAAAAATCCAGTTTGAAATATCCGTCTAGGTCCAGAATACACCCTAGAAATTTACCTTGATTTTACCGAGAAAAAAAATAGCCGGGAAAATCTACATGGGTCCTAGATTGCCACTAACAGATTTTTCCCCAATTAGATATAAAACTATGGAGCCTGGATTGGATAATCTAGCTTTAAATACCTTAATAGGTCCAGAATATAATCCTGAAATTTACATAGTTTTCCCCAAGAAAATTTACGTTGTACTTTATGCTATAAAACGAGTGACTGAGCGCCACACGGACGAATGACGTAGCGAATCTCGCTTGTGTGATGCCCGCATGGTGGGGGCTTTATCTCTCGTGTTGCTCTGTTGCATGGAGCTCGAGTTGGCATCTCTGGTGTCAGTTTTCCTGAACTGATAGAAGATACATGGATGTTCTCACAATTGTTGAGAAAACAAAAATATTAGACGAGAAAAAATAAGAAAAAAGAATGTGTCTAATAATGAAAACCGATATTGAGGTTAACAATGATGTGCAAGACAATAATATAACCATCGATAATTGTTATCACGCTACCAGTAATGACTGTGCATACGAAAAAGTTGAAGCACATGGAAATTATTAGCGTTTTTGATTATACAGGATTTGAACGACCCAAGATTGGTTAATGACGTCATTGCAACCTCTCCACCAATGAAAGACTTGCATTTATAGTAAAATAGTGATTGATCAACCCTAGATCGTTCAAACCCCGTTTATTCGAAAACGCTATATGAGTACGAGGGTGATTTACACATGATACAAAATGATGAAATTAGCGGTTATAAAAATGAAAAAGAAAATAAAGTCGAAGCCGAGTTGGGATTCCAGGGAATATTTTAGAGAAAAATTTTTGATTTAAGCTTGAACCAGACTGGATTATAGAAATAATTATGGTATAAACCAAGCAAATATCTAGGAAAATTATAGGTCCCAGTTAGATTCCAGATAATTTTTCTGAACAAATTCCGGGCGTAACCTTGGGTCGACCTGGATTCAGCGATAGGGCCTGTTCGATTTAGGCGTTTCAAACTTTACACAGAGCCTAGCTAGATTTCCCACCTAGATTCCAGAAATATTTTTTAAAAAATATATGGGGCCCTAATTGTTTCCAGACAAAATTTTTACTTGTGTTATATCATATTCTTTAATCTTAATATCTTTGTTTTAATGACTATTTTGGCGAATGTAATCTGAATAACAAAAATTATCTTTTTTAATAATATCAAGTTATTTTATATGTAAATCGCTTTTTGAAAGTATTTTACTTTTACTATCACTTTTATTGCTTTTTCCGGTGCGGTACGATTTGTAAAATTTTATTATAGTGTACCGAAAATTGATATACTCAACGTGAGCGATTTATTGATATGCAAATTAATATAAACTGACATACTTGAATTCCAATTAAAAAATAAGTTTTATGTTGAAATGATTAGTATCTAGTTTTTTATAAAACTATTGAATTATTACTATCTAGTTTTTTATAACTATCTTACCAAAAGAAAATGGCATCACTATATTATTAGCAATATTAAACAATTTTTTATAATGTTTAACCATTTATTGTAGTACATTTTTTATTTCTAACATGTTCTACAATTTTTTTATAGATACGCCTCTTGGGATACAATTTTCAATTTGTGTGAGTTTTAGAAGAACGTTAATTTCTTAAATGTTAGAAATAATAATATAAAAAATTTAATACCATTTAATAAAGGTAGTGTCTAGTATATATATAATTATTTTGAGTTTTTAACTTATTGTAAGAGATAATTTCTAAAAACTAAGTAGTATGTCAGTTTTAGCGATTTTTCTTCAAAAATCAGCTTTATATTTACAGTTTTGTACATTTAAGATAACTCGATAGGTTTGAAGCAGTTTATATTCATCCTTTTGAATTTTAGAATTTTAAATACATACATCATTTTTCTTTAATAATCAATTTTTGTAATTGTTATCTAGCAAAAGAGAGAAAAGATATTCCTTACTGTTTGTTATTAATGTATGTGCGGATGCCAGTCCAAAACACATCAGAAGTTATCAAATGGTGTAACATGCGCCATATATTGGATGCTGAAACAATTAAAATTATAATGTGTTTGTGAAGTATTTATAATGTACTTGTGAACTACTTTGAAATATATATTTTCTAAAAGTTAAGATATATTTTTGTTTATAATAAAATTTATGTATGTCAGTACATTGTATTTTAAATTGTGTGTAGTTCAGTTTTTTATTTTTTTTTAATAATATTTGAAAGTTTGTATATTATTCAATAGTATCATTTAATTATCTTTACTTTAATCATTTGTAGGATTTTACTTATATTTTCCTAACTTACGTTTTATATGACCTAAAAGATAACTAAGTGAATTCGTTTTATTTGCATTAGAAGGAGTATCAAAGAGTAAAGACTCCCGTTGTGTTTCTACGATAAATAAGTTGATTATGTCATTATACGGAAAAATCTAAAAAATTAAAAATAATGAAATAAATATTTAGTCACCAAATTATAATTTAAAGCAATGTAGCACGATTGATCGTTGCAAATAAACTTTTGGGCTTTTTTTTATCATAAAATAAATTATTTATTAAATACGTATTAACAAAAGAAGCTTAATGAATGTGTTGTAAGATTAAAGTGTATCTTTCCGTTCATTTTTATGTATCTATCTGTAAGTCACATGTTACTTTTGTTTTTCCATTTGTTACTTTCTTATTGGTTGCGCCATTGTGTATGCGCAGGAATACGGACTTACCTGTCACTCTCTCTTTCTTCTTTCTTTTTCACGTTTATGTCGACGCTGTTCTGTAAAACCAAGTGTTGGCTTATTATTATAATAAACAACCTACTAATTAATTCAATTGACTTGTAGTGGTATAGTTTATTCTGGAAACCATCTATAACAACAGAATGCAACGTAGTTTTCTAACACCATGTATATTAAGTAGAATAAACTCTTAGCAAATTTATCTATTTAAAAGTGACAAATTGAATGGCAATGGGTTTTAATTGTTTCTTTCCGTTCAAAAACTTTGAACAATATTAAAAGTTATTAATAATCAAAATTAGCACTTCAAATAAATATTTCTCTAATTTTTTTCTACTGAGGAAATGTAACAAATTTTTTCCTTTTACCTTTATTAATAAATATAATATAAAATAAATAACTTAATGTAAAGTACTAAAGCAATTTCTGTTACAAATTCATAGCGTCATATGATGCTACATAAATATCTTTATCTGACATACACTGATGAAAATCTAATCAATTATTTGTATCAAATGCAAGCACTACGATGAGGAATTATGTGTCGTCGGTGTCAAAGAAAAACATACATGCATATACATATACACGTACATTATAAATCGTCATCACTTGTTTTGCAATACAGAAATAATTATTATAAACATGTCCGAAGATATAAGAGGAGAAGACGCTCTGCACTCAACTATTCTCTAAAATGTATAGGAATTGGGTAGGTGATAAGGTTTTCTCGGAATGAGGATGCAGAAAGAGAGAGAGGCAGATTCTTTTTCCATTCAATTTACCATGTTTAAGTAAATCTGTTAACAATAGGAGTTCTTTCTATTAATTATAGATGGTGTTATAAAATTACGCTCTATTTCTGTAAACTTCTTTTGTTAATAACTTTTTAATAAATATGAGTGATGACTAGAACTTTTTTCTTGTTACTCAAAACATGTGGCTTTGGTAACATATGTCAAGATCAAGACGATTGGATCTGATTGTGCAAATATAAATATTTACCAAATGTAGTATATCGATAATAAGAATTTAAAACCTGATTCAAGATAAACGTTGCAAGAAATGTAAGAAAACCTCTTTTTGACCACAGCAGCACATCATTATACCAAAGAGATACTATTTGAATTGTTATAAAGCGTGCCACTTTTAATTCATACCCAACGGGATATGAGTTTCCATCATAAATAATATCAGCTTCTCTGAAAAATATTTGCAAATATGAAAAGTTCGTCGACAAAGTTTGCCGTAATCAAACAATTTAATAGATCACGATATGGTGGATCTAACAAATTATTACAAAGCTACGCAAGAATTTTTTAAAAACTAATTTTTACAAAAAATGTATTTAAGATTTTTTTGCTAAATCTCATAATAAATGAAAATAATATAACTTTTGAGAAATTTGATTTTTTATGCATTTTTATTAAACTTTGTAATTTATTTTGCTCATGAAGCAATGTAATATTAACTGTTTACTTATAAAGTCATATACAGACTTTATTTCAAAAAGCTGGAAAAGAGAAATTATGCACATTTTACATAAATAATTTCACGAATAGAGAAGAACATTAGAATTCGGAAAACAAGAACTCTGATAAGTTTTCAAGGAAAAGATTGATAATAAAAAATTCTATAACAGTCATTTTATTTGTACAGCTTAAAACGCAGTTACCTTGCATGCTTTTAAAACTGAAACTAAATTAAGTTCTGACTTGACGTAAAGAATGATTATTTCAAATTTTGGGAGTACTTTTGACCCCGAAACTTTTTTTCAATTTATTTTTATTTCCTTAAGTTGGGACCACGCGCATTTTATTCCTCACATCGAATAGAATTTATGTGTAAAATTTCAGGTCGATCGGAGAGTAGGGTCATTCGGAAGTATATCCCAAATTTTTAACTAAACTAAAAATAATGATGTCTTCTTAATGTGTCGCGAGTAAAAATCTATTGATTTGAACTGTTTTCTAATTTATATATTGACATAAAAATATATAATTTATATCTATCGGCTTTAAAATTAAATTATTTGATAGTTTTATTTTTTTATTTAATAATTATTTCTGACTAATTCATTTTAGTTTTGAACATTACCTTTGTATAATCAGTCCCCATGTTACACTGTTATTATGTTGAGTATCACAAATTGCAACATAGTCTATTTTTGGTAATTTCTTTATACTGTTTTCACGTTCCAGAAAGTTTAGGACTTGTGGGACAATATATTTCGCTAATTGTAAATAGTGTGCCACATTTTTCCTACTCCAAAGTGTGACGTTTGCATTCGAAGTATGAATCTTAGTGAATGTGGTTATCACAAACTTTAAATGTTGAATGAACATTGAAAGTGATTTCTCAAAATGTGTCCACATCATGTCACGTCTGTCATCATTTTTTGTTGTTTGTATAGGCATATTTGATAAGACAGTGTAATTTTTATGATGTTTGATGGAAATTTTAAAAGTTGAATTAAGTGCTATCTCGTCCCAGCATGGGAATAGTTGTCGAGCGGTCATTATATCAGCACCTGTCGCTATTGACCTATCATATTTTACCAATACGGTAAATATAAAATTTTAAATATAATTATATTCAAGGATCGACTAAGGATAGACTAAAAAATATTGTATTTAGAAAAAAATTGAATGATAGTTTTTAACACTGTACGGAATTTTTAACGAATTTATGAGATATTTCTACATCTTAAAATCGACAAATTTAAAATGTAACGTTGAATTTATTTGAGTACTATTATAACTATTTTATGTAATACGCAATTCTCAGGATGCCATCTGATTTCTGAATGTACTTAATAAATATATTTGAATAGAATATTAGCAAAAATAGTCTTTATAGTATAATTTCGTTTGAAGTACTTTTTTAACTTACATGTTGTCCAGTTTTATATTGGAGTATAACGATTTAAAAATGTAGTTTTTGTAATTTTTTATGTAACGTATATATGTAATTATTAGAGCGTATTTCCCTGGTTGTAAATATTTTGTACGTTTTGATGTGGTAAAATCAATTATAAGCATATTTAGTTCATTATCAAATAAATATTTTGGAACGTCCGTCTTTTTAATAAAAAGGTCGTTATACAAAACAATTCTAATTACTGTGAAAGTCACTGGATGCAGAATTATTTTTTCCGTTTGACGATTAACATTTATAGTTATATTACATTCACCAATAATGTCATTTGTTTTGTAGTTAAATCTTATTTTAGCATCATAATGCAATGGTATTATATAATCCGGTAAATGGTAACGAACTGTGGTGTCATTTTCGATAGCAGTGCAAAGTGCTATTGTAGCGATTAACATTATTTCGCCATTTGTTAAAAGCTTTCGGAACATCGTATTTATTTTTTTTATATAAAAAAAATTTCTGAAAAAAATGTTTCTTGGCAATAAAATATATTTATTTGCAACACATAGTTCTTAATTTTTATAGAACAGGAAAAGGCACATAATAACAATTATAAGTATTTACAGAAAAAAGATATAGAAAAAACCAAGATACACTGATTGTGAGAGAAAAGTGTGCGATATTTAGGACTATAATAGCATGGCACTATAATTATAATCACGATATAATATATAATAACTATAAATATAATAACAAAAAATAGCATATATTAACAGTTTTAATAATTTACAATAAAAAGGTATAGAAAAAATCATGATACACTGAAAGAAAAGTGTACGATGTTTTAGACTTTTATGACATACGACAAATATAGTCCTGATGCTCAATTTTATAAGAATTGTTAGTATAATATTAGCAATAATAATTTTATACGTATAGTATTGCTAAACATATAGTCAATTATATAGTTATTATATAGTTATTATAGAACATTTAGAAAAATTTTAAAATGGTGATACACGCTTATTTATTGAGCCTTAGCTTGTTCTTTTGGTGTTGTTCGTTTCATACTGTATGAAACGAACAACACCAAAAGTAACAAGTCACAATAAAAATCAATCCAGACAGTCAGAAAAATTAAGTTGCCATGTCTGACACACGAGGAAAAAGCAAGGGGTGGACAAGAAGTTCGTAAAAATGGACA